ATTTTTATACACAGTCGTTTAATGGACTGCTGCTAACATTTTAAATTATAAGAAGCTAGGTATTTCTAGCTCCGAAATCTATGGTAGTTTTGGTGATTTAAATAGACGTAGCAGTAATACTCATTTAGAGAATATAGCTGTCTCTACTTGTATAGGTGTTTTTAATTCGTAATTTATTCAATATATGGGTGATTGATTTCGGCAATTTCAAAATGCTATCTCCTTTCTGTTAAGGCATAAGTTTACTTATGTTCAATTCGATTAATGACTACTAACTATTGATTCGCCGATCAGTGACAACGCAGCATTAAATTGACTCGATCATTTTGTATATCAACCTCGTTCCCTTTTCCTAGTGCATCGAATTAGCTGGTATCGAAAGGCTCGCAACAATATAGGCGCAAATGTTGGCATTCATGTGTGTGAACGAGTTTTGTGTGAAGAACAATCGACTTCCCATGCACTCGATTGCCATCTCGGCGGTAAACTTAAGTTACTTACGCAACTGCCCTCCGTTGAAGACATATATTGAGATAATGAAAGCCATATTTTTTAAGCAGTTAAAACACGTGTGAGCGAACTATATGACTCCTAGTAAACTAGGTCTCTGGGTAATATAGCTTCGATCGTATCTAAGATATGCAGCAGCCGGTGATTTTTGTAGCGGACGATGACGTCACGTACGTAGTTAATATGATTTAAGATTCATCCAGCATTACGGATAAGCATCTCAAGTCAACTGTCAACTTAATCGAGCCTTTACTAGGCCGTTTTTTAGGAATTCTTCCGACGTTCTCACGAGTTTAATGCGTATTATGATTGAATGATATCGCAATGCGAGCGTTTAGTAAGTTATAAATTTCAAATATTCACTTTTCTTTTTGTGACTTGAATTTGTCGCTCTCAAATGATACATGCTAACTGCCGCTAGTTTTGCCACATTAAAATTAACTTATTTCGATGACATTTTTTGGAGAACATAAACTATCTAGCTCTAACGTTTTTTTTTTGGAAAATTAGTAGGAAATTTAATACAAGAAATCGTTAGTTTTGCATAATCCGATGCTCTATAAAATCTTACAAATAATATAAATTTGTATGATTAGATGGATGGATGGATGTTTGTTTGCAGGTATCTAAAGAACGCCTGAACGGTTCGCGATGGAATTTGGAATACATATAGAATATAGTCTGGAAGAACACATAGGCTTCTAATTTTGTTTTTTTTTTAATTCCGCGCGGACAGGGACGAGGTCGACACCTAGTGAAATTGTAAATGTAAATACATAGTAGAATATTCGAAAGTGATCGCTTATCGTTTGATCTACAGTTTCCGGAGAGGATGTACTGCGTTCGTTGTTATAATCTGATGTAAATATCTACATCAGCTTAAAGTGAACACAGATTTAACAGCTAAAATACTAGAGACATTTTAATCGATGAGAAGATTGATACTGGCATCAAAGACGACCTGCCTCAACAGAATTTTAATATCGTTATTTTACGGCAATTTGTTTTGTTAATTTTAAGAAGAGTTTCTATAAGAGCCAAAACTTTGAAAATATGTAAAGTTATACGCTGTAAATGAGATTTTTATACGTAATTTTATTTTTAATAGAGACTAATCTTTCCTGGAGGTAAAGTGATATGAAAGTAATGCAAAATACTTGTTAGATTTGTAGAATTACCTGTGATTGTTAACAATAGAGTTGTGATTGTTAGTTGTGACGTAATAGTGATGTGATTTAGGTATTTTGTTATTTCCGATGTTGACCTCAACAATACGACTGCACATTATGATAATGAATCTAAAAATTATGCGACACCGTCTACATCGCCGTCTGTGCATTTTTTTACAATCTGAATTTCATCAGTGATGTACTTGAATGCAGACTATTTCAAATTTCCTTGAATTTTTATTAGTGATCTCAGTCTCTGTCTCAAATGCTGTTTGAAAACTATTGCTTTGTCTATTTACGGTGCAGGCGATTTTAGACTATGTTGTAATGAAACAGGTCTATATTTAGATTGAAAATAGCTTGGATTCTGTGTGAGAATTGTAAATACACCCCTTGTAGTGTCGAATTTATTTATTGCATCGCAATATGTGTTTGATGCAGCAGACGAAATACATTTATAACGGTCTCATAGCGACAGACGATTTACACTTTTTACGGATTGTTTTGTTATTTTGTATTACAACTTACGTTGCAGCTGTGATGCATTAACTAGATATATTTTGTAGGGTGATTAAATGTTAACCAGTGATCACTAACTTCTTTTTATACCTTGCTGTTTGTAATTATACATTGAAATATTTGAATGCAGATTAAGGTAGCGAGTAATGCTTACGAATTATTCACAAGAGATTCATTAAAACGTAATCTATTGATTTATTTTTAAATGATTTTACAAAAAGGAACTGTAAATAATAAAAAAAAAACAAATTCTCAGGTTGAAGATATTTCACTTTTGTATACAAGTATGTAAGTAATAGATTTTTACTTATTAAGTAGATTGTAAGCATTTTAATAGCGTGTCGCCAGAACTAGAAAAGCAATAAACGCCTGCATCGTGAGGGCCCTCGTAGGTAATTAGTAGTGAGCTGCAATTATATGTAAATTTGACGCATGCCAAATGTGCTCGTTTTGCAAGCATTCATTTGTCGTCACACCTACCCTTGATAATTTTGTCACACTAATATGTTAGTATGCGTCTGTAAAATCATTAATTTCATAGCTTCTTAATTTTTTAACATTTCATAGAAATAACTTGTGAAGAAATAATTAGAAAAAATAATAGCTATAAATTTTAAAAAGAATTATTTTTAAAATTTATAGCTTAAGAAAAATATATATAACATATCAATCTTTTAAAACATACGGAACATAACATTACTGAAATATTGTTCTTGTTGTAGATTTTTTTAAATGCATTTTGAAAATTAATATTATCTAAAGCGTTTTCATTTATGAGTAACTTTGTGTTAAATTAAAATTAAATCGCATTTTAATTGCTATTGCATCACAACTTAATGATTATTAATTAATAGCTTAAAAAAACTAAATAAAAATTCTAGACGTCATTTAATTATAAATAAACGAAGTAAGAAACCGGAATGTCTCTTGGCACCTGATCGATATAAGAACAGACAGTTCTGTCAGTTACCTAACTCTACGCACCTATTCTGCAATAGCAGTGAAAGCGAAATGTCTAATTATTTTTTTTATTTTATAATAACAGAGATGACATAGCATTTCGGAGTAGGGATACTTTTTTTTCCATTTGAATACGCAATCTTCATCTGCGATCTATGAAATGGAGACTATAACAAGAAAACGAACTTGATTGACTTCTGACGGACAACGATCGCAATCGATGCGTTGCTACCAAATCAAAAGTGTAAGTGTCGGTAGCAGTATAAAAAAAATGCCAGATCTTAATTGACTTCTATTTCAGATCTCTGATAAACGTACTCTTATTAGACGGGTAATTATTTGAATTATATGTATCGCGGTTGTTATAAAATTTTAGTAATAAACTTTCTAATACTATTACAGTTTTGCACACTGTACTTTTATTCTTACTAATATTATAAATGCGAATGTTTTGATGTATGGGTGGGATGTTTGAAGGTATTTCCAGAACAGCCGAACGGATGTCGCTGAAATTTGGCATACATATAGAAATACCCAATAATAAGAATAGTCTGGAATAACACATAGGCTACTAATGAAGGTTTTTTTATACCGCTCGAACGGATTCGCGGGCGACAGGCAGATAGTTTAGTACAAAATTTAACAAAATGATAAAGAAATAAATGCGGTGTAAATGGATACCGCTCGCTTTAATTTTTATTTGTCCGCGATATTACGATTGCCGTATAAGGAGTTGATACATGTGGGAAACACGGATCACGTTGTAATGACGTCGGTCCAGTTTGTGCGTATTTGTGTTTTTGAAGAATTTTAATTTGCAAAATTCATTTGTTTGACAGTTGAGGAATCATCAAGTATATTGATCATTTTATTTTTTCCTAAGTTATTCAAATAACGTTACAAACTTTAAGAAATAAATACAATTATATATTGAAGAAAATAACGGTTGATGTTTCCTAAAATACGCATTATTACAGTCTTTATGTATTGAATGTTTTCATACTATGGCAAGTTTATAGTAAGCTAGAGCACAATGGATAAAAGTCGAGCAAAAAAAGGTTTATCCGACGGCCGGCGGAGTGCGGCGTGCGGTGCGGCGTGCGGCAGGCACGGGCGACACAGCGTAACTCACTTTCTGGTTTACTAGGTCGAATAATCTTGTTTATTTTATTTTTTATTTATTTGATTGTTACAGCAAGTGAAAATTACGGTGAAACTGTACCCTTCACTTTTGTTTTTCGGCTGTTATGGGACTTTAATCAAGGTTAATAGGAAAATTAAAGAAAATCTGTTTAAATATTTTAACTCGTTACCGAATACCGTATACCGCATTAATTGCGCTTTTAAAAATAATTCATTTTATTATTATTGAAATAAACACTATTTGTCAATATGATTTATTATATTATTCTATTTTCCTATTTATTTGTTAAATAATTGAAATATTTAAGTAAAAAGTAGTTTAAACCATGAAAATAATTAAGCGCGGCAATGTACATTTTAATGTTCTTTTTAATTTGAAATTCGTAATTTAGAATATTTTGTAATATTATAAATTACAGATTGATTTCAAAACATTTTAACATTGCAGTTAACTTATTATCGTGATAATGAGTTTAGTTATCGTCTTTAACAAGATTAATGAACTGCGAGTAAATGTAATTCGTAACGAAAATGTGCGAGATATTTATTACTAATTCAAAAAATATGCGTTTAGGTCCTAAGTTGATATGTTTTTTTTATTTTATCTGTTATGTAGAAAATGATTCATAAAAATAAAAAGGAAGTAATTTGCTAAAATTAAAATCCGCAGTCAAACTATTAAAGAATACAGACACCTACCTGTTTTTATCAAAAATGTCCATACAACCACCGATTTAGTTTTTCAGTTTTCGTTTGTTACACTTTAATTAAAAAGTTAATGTAAATTATCCCTTTACTATATTTGAATTTTTCACAGAATAAGTTTCACTTTCTTTAGTACACTATGTTCAATTCCGAATATTGTATGCACAGTACTTTTCATACAAAGTTTTTTTCAGTGAGCACTATCACTTGTAAATCCATTCCAACACTAGGGGTGGTAGCGGCGAGGGCGCGGGAGCTTAAAGCTGCGGAGCGACGTGTGGTGCGCGTGCGCAGGTCGCCGTGCCATCGCGTTATCACCGCGAGCTGCGCGCCGCGCGACAACAACACAACTTGAGACTCGATCTCAATAATAACAAGAAAAGAAAACGGTCCAGTTTCAGAGGCTTCCGGATGGCTCGCGGACGGGGCGCGGGCCTTTGGTCGTCCCTTTTTAATACATGCCTCCGTTTCGCTCTCTCTGTCTAACGGTACAGGCTACGACTTGAACGATAGCGCTAGTCGCAAAAGCGACGCCGCCCCGTACGCTTGTCTGCACACAGAGGTTACTACGCCAATTTTTATTTTTCCCGCCGTTTTGCGTCTTCGACATCGCTATAACATTGCGAACGTTGATCGGGTTTTACTCTATATCTACTGTCGTTTTAGTTATGTTATCAATTTTTATTTTCGTTGAATTGTTTTGAGTATTTTTTTTTCGGAAAAGTCTCAGCATTTAATTTGCAATCGCACATTACTCGTTGAAGTCTAATATATGGGAAAATAAACATTGTGATATTTTAAAAGTTTTGAAATATTTATTCGAATTTATGTTTATAATTTATCATTCAAATAAAAAATAATAAAGTAAATAGAGATACAAAAGAGATCGCTGTTGCTGTATATTACAATTAAGGAATGTTAAAACACTTAGATGCCTAGTTTGAATATCTCAGTCTGAGTAATAGCACAATTTAAATTCTAAATACTATGAAATAATTTAAATTACATTGGACGTTCTGTTCTGCTCATTATTGCACTATCTAAGTACTGGACCGGCCGTTAAATAGGATATATCTAATAGATAATTAGAACAGGTGTAACATTTACTTAGTTATTTTATATTTATATACTTTTTCTATTAATATAATAACATAGATGGCTTAAATCTTTAAAGTAGCAATGTACTCAACCCTGAAAAATTTAAGTATACTCGTTAAGATTCTACATTTTACAACTCAACTTAATTTTATATTTTCACTTTTACGTACTATTTTGTTCTGCAATGTTAATTTACCGTACTTTTAAATTTATAAAGATACTTTAATTTGAGCTTAAAAGTAATAACAGAAAATGCATATTAAAAGATATAACTTTATTAAGTTAACAAAATATTTGTTCTTGTGTGGGCGTGTAATTTATTATACAGTTCTTTTCGTGCCCCAACTTGATGGAGATAGAACTCGAAACACATAATTCCAGAAAAAAGCGTGATCGAGTCTTGACTTGAGTGCAGATCACGTAATAAGTGCGTATCGTAAAATATAAGGTGCCGTTGTGAAATTACTGAGCTCATTATGTTAAAATCAACATTGTCGTAACTCTTCTTTATTGCGGTGACCGAGAAAATTCGTTGAAAAAAAATACACCGAGAAAATAATATCGTTTTAATCTTTGAACCCTTTCGAGTTTGTATCGAGTTTGTTATTAACTCAGTCGAGTTTAAGTGGTAGGTTCACACATATTACACGGTAAGTGTAAAATTTGCTTGTATAATTTCATTGCTTTATAAGTGTAACTTTAAATGTGTATCAGGTATTTGAAGTAGTTAAAGGTTTCGAAAATTTTGAGTGTGTGTTTTCTTTCAATTTCGGCAACATATAGGTATTGAGTTATTAAAAAGGAAATATTAATTTAAATGGAAACCTCTGTATTTGTGAGAGTATTAACAAATAGAGGAAGTTAAGTCGATTTCAATAGAAATGAAAAAATATAATAAATGAAAATAAAACAATTTTACCTTTAATAACACTGTGTTCACAGACTTATTAATAGCAGACATGTTTGTGTCATCGATTTAAACACTGCAACTACAGTAATTTAAGATATCTTAAATCTTTTTTAAACGTAATAAAATATTATCATCCAATAAACATATTAAAATATAAACTTTACATCTTATATTAATAGACTACCTTGACCCGATACTTGTCAAATGAGATATAAATAAATATTTAATTAAAAATCGAAACTGAGATACTTAAAAGAGAATAAAAATGCAAATTAAAAAGTTATAGGGATTTGTAGTTGATTGAAAGTAAATATTGTGCAAGTGACATGTACTCCGTATGTGTCACCATCCTAAAATAAAATTAATAAAAATATTAATTTGTTTTTACAGCGTCAGATATCTATCGTAAATTATAAGCTCCGATTAAATATGCTTTATGTCTTACTTCTTATTTGTTACTAATATTATAAATTCGTATGTTTGAATGGATGGATGTTTGTTAAAAGGTATCTCCAGAACGGATCTCATTGAAATTTGGTATAGACATAGAACATAGCCTAGCTAAACATAGCTACTAATTAAGTTTTTATTTTAATACAGAGTGGACGGAGTCGCGGGCGACAGTTAGTTTTTTTTTGTTAAGTGTCTCACCGTTTATAACACAATTTTTTCCATTTTCCTCAGTTATTTATGCGCAAACGGAAACAAACGAAGAAAATAAAATATTTTACGAAGCTAGATTACAGTATGAAACAATTACTTACGATTTAACATAAAACAACTTGCACCTTTAAAAAGAAAATGTAACATTTTTTTTAAATTTTCTATTCATATATTATAAAATTTTATAATTTAACGACAGTCTTGGGTTATTTCGTTCGAGCATTATTCTTAATATAATACATAACTTATATGTACACTAATTAATACACATTTTTCCCAACAAACATAATTTTTATATCAATATAATGTTCAACTTTAAAGTGTATTTAACATGAAAACAAGCCTTATTTTAGTTTTTTTACTATGTGTAAAATTGGGTTACTTCCATGACATTGGCGGTTGCGATCATAAATTTCCTGTATAATAAAAGTTGGGTATTCGTATATTTTCTTTGAAATAAATTAAAAGGCCTTGTATGTTTCGTGGTTTACGTACACACGTCCGCGTTTGTGAATAGCCTGTTAAAGCGTGAGGTGAAACGATCTTAATTTGGATAAACTTAACGTCTTTTAGTCAGTCGATTGTTGCTTAAATTTATGATATAAGTAGCTATAGACCGCAACTCCCAGCGCTAGTTATATAAAGTAAATAAGCAGCTAATACGTTCTTCCAGACTATGTTCTACATTTGTGTCAAATTTCATCAATATCCGTTGAGCCGTTCTGGAGATACCTTCTAATATACATCGATCCCTCCATCCGCCTAACATGAGCATTTTACACTATTAGGAACATAGTGTTTTTTATATTGTTGCATTTAAAGTTTTTTTTAGCACAAAATTAAATTGTAACTTAGTTTTAGTTTCATTCTATAAAAAAATCAATTAATGATTTTTTTTTATTTATCAATTAATGCGATTACATAAAACTATTTAAACAGTAGTTAGCATTGGATAGTAAAACAAGAGCTTTTTTACTTTTTTCTTAGTCATATGAATTACAGTAACTCATCGAAATCATTAAAACCCGTCAATCAAGTCCACCCGAGGCAATATCTGGCTCACATCTCCGCAAAGTTACGAAGCGTTTAAAATTGGATATGACATTTTCAACTGCAAAATTATATTTGATATTAACTTATATGGCGTTAAAAACATCTTTAAAAATATTTATTCACATAAATTTTTCCTCACATTGTTAAGAGATTTTTTGTTTTGTTGTGTTTGTTAAGGCAATTAGTATTTTTTAATCGATAAAGTTTATTAGTTCACACCAAAAAGTTTTATTGCAAAAAACTAACAGAAACGCCATATTTTTGTGATGCTATAAAAAGAAAATCAGCCCATACAAATATTATTAGAACGCATGCCTGAAATAATTTCTTGCCAGTATTTAATTTGATACATATTTCAAACTCGTTACAAATATTTTTGTACCTCTAATGGAAAAAGGTATACCAGATGTTACTACAATATCAACTTTGTTCATAATCTTTCCTTTTTCATTCACCAACGTTTTTACGAAATAATCTTATATTGAGAATGTTGCTTTAGAAAAAAACAAGTGGTCGCGCTATATTTAGAGCGAGCGTTCGATATTCGCAGATTAGTAGCTCCAAATGAACGGCTTCAAATGCGCAGTAGCGTTTATTATAGTCGAGTTGTAGGCATTGCAACCATTTTAGCTAGGCGTGGTCGCCAAAGACCTTAGAGAACGGATGTAACAGCCTCGTTTTCCCCGCCGACACTGCCACCATTCCAGATCGACGTTTGATGATAACCGACTCTGAAATAAAATAAAATAACGTTTGAGTGAAAAGGTCAGCCGGCCGCCGCTGCGCCGAAATTAAACTTGAAAAATAATAATCATTACCGTCACAAAGACTCCAACGGGTCCGAGGCTCAGTATTTTGACAGCTCGAATGTCGATTCACGACTCACCATGCCTCGCGCCCCTTTCGACGGCTTTTCTTTTGCAACAAATAAATATAATATTATAAATTATGTTCAGTGGACCTTAAATTTTTTGGTGAGATCGTATCGTTAACTTTTACGGCTTAATTTTTATACGGCGAACCGAAATGTATCGCCACCGTCCGCAAAAATTATGGTTATTTTATACTAATTGTTTGTTGAACTGGTGAAGATGAAAAAGATTCCGCTTGTTTTTGTTAGGGCAGAACAAATTTGGGAAAGCTCATGTCGTACCGATGACTACACCGACGAAGATTTATGGTGTAATTAAGGTCATGTGTTGTCTTTAAAGGCAGTGTATAATAACCACCATAAAAGTTATGAAGACTTATTGTTCGACAAATAATTGTTGACAATTTCAATTTGTATTCAAAATAATAGATTTTCCTTCTTAGTGGTTTAGAAATAACCTTATATTAATTAGTGTATTAATTAATTTTAATAAATATCCGCTTTGAACAGCCGGAAAGGTATCTATCGTTGTGATCGAGCACAAAATAGATCCGTAATAATCAGAATGTGATCTGATTTAATAATTAATGTGTAAATTACCGCGAAACAATCGCGGATATCTGCTTGTCTCTGAGTGATTCGTTACCCGTTTATCACTTACTCATTTATTTATGATCTATTAAAAATTCCAAGTGATACAATTGATTAGCATTTATTTTTCACACATGACTAGTTTTTATAATTTCAAATTACAAAT